CCTCCTGAGAACTTCTGTGAAGGTTTATCAGAACTGCCGGCTGACCAACATCTTATCAGGACTATGGCCTATCTGGAAGGGCATCATGGACAAATCTCACCGTCTTGTCATCAAATGCATATGTAATGTGTCTATAAATGTGCTTGTTGATAGAGTTTTTGATGTTTTAAATCGTGTCCTGATAGAACAAGATGTGAAGAGATCTTTTTATAATACCACTATCCATCCTCATGGCCTTTTCCCTTTTTTATCTAAAACAATTCTGATAAAGGACAGGAGGCTGTGCTCTCTCTTGTAGCAGCAGCAACATGCACTCCACCCATCGTTCGGACAAGTGTACGAACATAATCCCACTGTATCTTGGTACAATGATAATAAAGCTTATTCTGATTCATATGTTTTTTGATGTATGAATCATTATGTTTCAGTTATGTTTCCAAACATTAGTCCTTTAGTGCCTTTATAAATAAATACAATAATAACAAATACACTTTAAGTTGACCAGATGTCTAAAGGTACAAAAAAAAATTAGATGACCATTTCACAGCATTGCAATGCAACTAACCAGCTACGCCACCATTAATGTAGCTGGTTCCAAAGCTTGGAGAATTAATTATTACTTATTTTTTTAAAGCAGAATACTAAATGTGTTTCCTTCAAAATGCACACAACACATCCAGTGTTTCATAAAGAACTTTATTGAATATATCTATATATTTAAATATTCTATTTATATATATATACACACCCTATATATATAATTTGTATTTCCAGAGTTGATCAGTATATTGTATTGCTTCCCTTTTGCCATCATCGTCCTTTCTTTAAAACAATCTGCTGAGTTTCCATCTAAAAAGATTCAGGATTAATTTGTGTCAGTAGCCCAAGTGCTGGGAAAGAAACATAATGTTCATGCTGGTTTGAAAATGGCTGTAACTTTACGATATTATTCTTAACGAAAAGAACAAAACATTTCAAACTTGACAAAATTCTTGCAAACACTTGGTAAAATGCAACTTTAAAACACACCATTGTTCTATTATTGATCCTGTAACAGTACACACATTTCTATAGGTAAGAGAGCGACGGGTTATGTTTAGTTAAACTTATTGTTTCCCAGGATAATCTTTTGACTTCACCAGTACGGACCACATGCAATTTACTTTTCCAGCATTAAGGCTACTGACCATAATTCACAGGCAGGCATGTAGTCTTTTTAGCCCCAAGATACAGATTTAAGAAGTCATAAACACTTTCACATTAAGAATACTTATACACATCACCACCAAAATAAATATAATAATATAAATTCTATCACCTACCGATATACACTAGTTAAAACATTTAAAAAAATACACTGAATATTAGGCTACGTTGGTTAGGTTCAAAAAGTAAAACATCTGCATTTCCTATGGGAGAAATGCAAATAAGATCATTTTGGAAGAAAGGTGAGAGGAATGTAAAATATGTGAGAAAAATAAACTAAATAAAAAACAAACAAACCTGAAAACCAGACGAAACTGAGGATAAATTACATATAAATACATGGAACGTTGATAAAACCTTACAACCAGACAAGAACAAAATCCATTTGAGTACAATTACGATAAAACAGAGTAAAAAAAAATGTTGCGCTGTTGTCCATTTGTGTTTATAAAATGAAGGACACAATCTAGATGGAAGAATAATAAAATATACCGTATTTTCCGGCGTATAAGTCACATCAGTCAAAAAAAACGCATCATGAAGAGGAAAACACATATTTAAGTCACATTTATGATGGGTTTATTTCATGGTCAAAGCAGCTTCATTTCTCCTGGGTGGCATGGCACCATCCATCCATCCATCCATCCATCCATCCATCGTGGCCGGAGCCGCTCGCTCTCCAGCGTTCCTCCACCTGTGCCAGTGGAGCGAAGCGAGCGCGCACAGGAGGACTCGCTGTTGCAGTTCTTCGAAATTTAAAGCACATCAAAAATTACATTATGAATATGAAATAAAATAATAAATAAAATAATAAATGCATATATATATATATATATATATATATATATATATATAAAGTCGCGTTGGCGTATAAGTTGCAGGACTGACAAATCTATGCAAAAAAATGATGATTTATACGCTGGAAAATATGGTAACGATTTCTGAATATAAATATTATAATGGCTTTGAGCAAAACACACTGCTGAAAGTGTGTGAGGGCAGTGGCTCAAATACTTTCCAATTTTTTAAAATTTATTAATTTTTTTAACAGGAAAGCTTCAAGTCTGTGGAAACGGGCAAAGCAGGTTGACAGAACATGCGTGTCCAGACAACTGTCTCTGCACAAATAAAGAAAAATACAAACATATTAATGGAGGTAATAAAAAAAACAAATTTGTACACCAACCTGTCACTTTTTGTGCACATGCGTTCCACATGACACCACGTACTTTTAATCAAGAGAAAAGGAAAACAAAAATATAAGAAAGATACAAAATGCTAATTTTCAAACGTATAAATACCCTGCAATAACCATTACGATCATAGAACACCAGCAACAGAATACCAATAACCAAGGAGTTACAGTCTCCTATAACCTAAAGGTGACAATCAATCACTCATTATGAAGAGAAGCTCAAAGTGGACCATTTACAGACATTATGTGCTTTAGTTTAGTATGGATTGACAATATAGCTCATAATACATTTATTATTCTAGTTTGTGAAACAGTATATTGTTAGAACTAACAGAGAGGTGGAGGGGAAAGAAAACAGGTGCTTGAGTTGTTTTCTCTTTACCTCTTTTCTCCACACCACCGTCCAGTGTTTGGTTCAGTTTCGTATCTCAAAGTGCTTTCAGCTTTTCAGTCCAGTCCAGTGTTCAGACATTTCCAACAATCTGATGTGCAGATCATATGTTGAGGTTTCATTCTGAAGAAATTGGTTTTGTTCAACTGTCGACTAAAATTCCACGCACGGACAGGAAACTGATATAACCCCCACCCGCTCGCTTGCGTTTTCAGCCCTTAGCCAGAGCGCTCAACAGATTCTGCCTTTGAGCCTTCAGTCTCTTGTCACCGTCATAAGCAGTCATAAACAAACCCAAATCATTTTTAGGCAATTAAATGTCACAAAGTGCCCAACGGCGCCTCGTTACACGTGCTTTAATTGACTTGGACGCTTCGCGATGACACATAATGACCATAATTTGTTAGCGGAGTGCTAAATGTGGAGCTGCCCATTTGTGAACTGCCATTACTTTATTCTGCTTTTACTAAAACCAATTATGATTGTTCCCCATTAAAAAAATAAATTAAACCCTAATTATACAATGTTTATACATTGGGTGATAGGACAAGAGTGAAAAGAAATGCTGTCAAATATATTCAACAGTCTGAAAATGTTTGTCTGTCCATCCATCCATCCATCCATCCATCCATCCATCCATCCATCCATCCATCCATCCATACATACTTTTCCAAAGTCATGTGGAAGCTCTTCTTATCAACCCTCTTTTAGCTCTCTCTGAGAAAATCAAGCTTATGTAATATTGTACATACGATACATAGGAGATCTAAATAACCCAATACATTGTACATGATGGGACCAAATGCTGGAAGCTGAAGCCAGCAGGACCTGGTTTATGGGCTGCAATGTTGAATTTTTGTAACCAGTCTGTGCACAATGGATGCGAGGCACTCGTTGGCATCCAATCACTTCATCAACTGACCTCTCTTTTAAGCATCAAATGAGTGAATACAGCTAAAAGTATTAAAAATAGATATGTTTCAACGTATAGCAGCAAGGTAGGAACTTTGTGAATCAACACTTAAAAAAAAAACAAGTGTTTTTTTATTTTTTTTTAGCAAAGGTAATGAACCGTTTGCTTTCTTGGAAGAGACAGCACTTAAATCTTGTTCTGGAAGCAGCTGACAGGGCATGTTGAATCACTTCTAGTTTCAACTTCAGTGGACATCTAGATATATGGTCTATAATCTCAAAGCATTGCAAGTAATTTATCCAGCCAGTTCTGATTCTACCCACAAGTCTACTCCCAGAGGGACCTTCCAAAGTCATATGGCCATGAGGCGTCCTATTCAAATGCCCAAACCACCTTGACTGCCTTTGCAGGAAAACTAATATTTTACTCCAAGCTCTAAGGGGAATTAACTTTTTACTTTATGTTTAAGACTGAGCTCAATCCACCTAAACCTTTTGCTGCACTCAAGTCAAAATGACTCATTGTGAAGACTGAGGCCTTGTGGTTTATTTTGACTCGAGGGCAGCTAGAGGAGTAAAAATCTTTTGCAGTCACTTGTTTGGTCATGCTCTAGATCCCATTAACCATGGATGACGACTGGAACATAGATGAACCAGTAAACTAAGAGCTTTGTTTTTTGTATCTGTTTATCTCACAGCAGACCGGAGCAACTGTAGACAAAGCCCTGAACATTCAGTCCACCCCTGGCAGTACTGTGCTATCAAGAGACGATAATATATATAAACTTAACCGCACGAGGCCGACACTCACCCCTTATCTGGATGAAATATTACAACTTTTCAGGATTTCCAGTTTGTTAATGGGGTTGGCTATAAAAACTAATGACGTGCTGCCTGAAACTCTGAACATTTCTCCAAGGCAGAATATCTGTACTATCAATTTGCTCACACATTTAAATAAAAACTGTCAGAAATTTCACATCAGATGATGTAACGTGTTTAAATTTGCATCACAATGCAACAGATGAAGGTATGCACATCTCTTATCTCTCAAAAGCTGTGCTGAATGCCCATTTCTCACAGAATGTATTTTTATCACTGAATAATGAACGGAGGCAAACTGTTCCCATGTGTGTCATTACGTTAGATATGCCTGAGGTGATACTCTATGGACCAGAGGTTAAGTAGCTATTTTGATCTTGAATTGGTCGCTGAGCAGCTTGCTCCTCTGTAATTATGTGTGACATTTAGTTCCCTTTAAGAAATGTGTCACAAGTCCAGCTTCCATCTCGCCAAATTAGTTCTTTATTTGTAATTTTGGGAAGCATTGAAGTGTCAGAAATTACTTGGAGATGGATTTGATGATTTGCAGCACAGCATGTTTAGATCTGTAAGACTTTGTGTGTTAAAAACAGATTTAATCCAGATTTTATTTAGAAAAAGGTTTCAGAGTCAGAGATTAGCAGATCAATCGCAAGTCGACCAAACTTGAACTTTTACTGCATCGCTGAACAATGTATTGTAAGTATTATTAAGGCAGTTACTGTGTGATTAAAGCATTAAGGGTTTATAACTCTTTATGATATTGGTTGTACATAGGAGAGCTGAATAATCCAGGCTCACTGACAGAATCTTTACTGTTGAGATGCCACCCACACATTTGAAACCCTACCTGTGATCTCCAGATATTTTCTCTTTAATTTCAACCTTCTCTGTTCAGTTCAGTTTTAAACTGGCGTAGTTTTCCTGTTGAGTGTGTCTGAGTTGCTGTCCCTGTCCCTTTTGGCCGTCAGTCGGTCGAGGGTTCCAACGTTACCCCTGTCCCTCTCCATGGTAGTTGTAGAGATCGGGGCTGACTGGGCTGGTGCAGCAGAAGATGTGGAGGTGTTCAGTGGTGCCGTATTCTGGGCTGCTGCCGCTGCCAAATTGGACTTGGAGTGAGATGGGAGCGTACCGCTGCTTATCACTGCGCCTGCTCCTCCGCTGCCACCGGAATCTTTTGGGAAGTAGTTGTGCAGCTGGTAAAGTGTGGCACGGTCCACGGTGCCGTACAGAGGTGGGGCGCCTCCTCCAAGGCTCCCCAGTTTGGAGTCCCTTGACAGGGTGTACATGGAGATGTCACCACCCCCTCCGCTCCCGCCACTGCTGCTGTGGTGTGGGTTGGGCAGCGTGGCCACGGAGAACGGTGGGGCAGACGGAGGCAGGGCAAAGGTCTTGGAAGTCCCAACAGGAGAGGCCTCCTGCGAACGAGGCGGGTCGGTGGAACGGGAGCTGGAGCGGGAGCGCCGCCTGAAACGGTAGCTGGGCAGACGCAGCATGGCGTGCGTGGTGCTCTTGAAGAGGTCAGTGCGAGAGCGGCAGCGAAGCTCTTTGTTCTTTTCGATGTAGATGTTAACGGCAAGGACTCCAACCATCTCAGCCAGGATAAAGGACAGACCGCCAAAGTAGAACGACCAGCCGTAAGAGTAGTGCCATTTTTTATCCTCGTCTTTCTTTGGGGAGATGTCACTGAGGGCTGCTGAGATGTAGACAATCACCCCGATGATGTTGCTGAGGCCTAGAGAGATATGAAACACTTCATGAAACGTGCTGAAGGACAAGATATAAGTACTAACGTATAAAGTAATCTGAATACCTTGAATGGCAACACTTCAGTTCAGCTCAAAAGATGAACAAGGATGAAAGTTTAAAGAAGAAAAATCATCTAAGATTGAAATAATAAAGCAACAATTGTTTCAGGTTTATGTTTCTATTGTGACACCCGGTTTCACCGAGTTCTATCAATTTAATTATGCCTGTTAGGCCTTTTTTTTTAATTGTATCCCAATATTCAATTTTATCATTTGTTTCAAATGACTTATCATGTTTCTTATTATTATTTTACAATAAGGCTTCTAATGTATTTTAACAATTTCACAAATCAGAGATTCGTGGCACACATTTTTTTAATTTCTATTACCTGATCAGGTCTGAGGAGGGATTAGAAACCGTTCGATGGTGTACCTGATTACACTAAAGCGTTTGTGTATTTAAACTTTGCACAGTGGTTTTGCCACGTTTTGGTGAGGGATACACTCACGAGTACAACAGCTTAAACATGTTGACATGTCAACATGTTTTAATTCCTTCTGATCTGGGCTCAGTTCATTTTTTTGTTTTGCTACACAACGGGTGTCACTACTGAGCAATACAATTGTTCTACATGTTGAGAACTCTGGACTTGCACAAGAACTAAAATACGCATAACTTTTACACATTTGTGCACAGTAAGTTTTAATATATTAAATATAATATTGTTAGTTACATTTGAGATAATTTGGTATATGGTACCACTCAATCCTGACATTCAGAATCAAATGTTTATCCAAACTTCTCTTCTAAATACTCAAGTAAAATTCGTAATACTGTTACATTTATGGGCGGCACAGTGGATCAGCTGGTAGAGCTGTCTCTCAGCGAGAAGGTGGCCGGATCAAATCTCGGCCCTTTCTGTGTGGAGTTTGCGTGTTCTCTCCGTGCATATATGGATTTCCTCCCACAGATTAAAAACACGCATGTTAGGTTGATTGGTAACTCTAAATTGTCCCTAGGTGAGAGAGAATGGTTGTCTCCTTATGTGTCCCTGTGATGGACCGTCCAGGGTGTCCCCCACCTCTTTCACAGTTACTGCTGGACATGTTCACCCGTGACTCCCCGTGACGCAAAAAGGAAGAAGCAGTTGAAGATAATGGATGTATGGATGTTACATTTTACCTGCGGCTACGAAGAGAATCCCTCCACCAAGGATGATGTTTCTTTTACTCTTATTGAAGCTGCTGGAAGCGACGCAGACTCCGCCCAGCAGCAGCAAAATGGCACTGAGGATGGGGAAGATGCTGGAAGCTCTCACCACACCTGCAGACGACAGCAGACACGTCCGTTTATACTTTCACATCTTTGACTCAGTGAATAATACATTTATAAAAAAATAATTTCAAACAGCAGCCTTGTGACACTTCCAGTAGATAAGTTATCAATAATTGTAATATTTGACACCACAGTTTGCACAGAAGCCTCCTTAGTGCACTTACTTCAAATTCAGTCTCTGGAACAGCTTTAATACAATTCTGGATTTTACTTTTTAAACAATCAAACAAACTTAACCTTATTTGAATCAATCAGTTTGACCTGAGCAATGCTCCAAATGTGTTTTAATGTGCTCAATATTTAAGTATACAAAAAATAGAGAACACTTCAAAATTGTTAACAGCATCAAAAAATAATTTAAATGCTTAAAATGTATTTATTTATTTTCAAAGGCACATTTTCAAGGTGACTCTTTACGATGTTTTAATTTTTGTTTTCATCTGGAAAAGACATTTCTCATCCATAGACAACGCTCACGAACAATTATTGGATTAAAATGAACAAAACACTCGTTTCATCTCATCAACATCATATTTTTGCTGCGCTGACAGTTATTAAAACACATTTAAATGAGAATTGGTTTTATTTAGAGTTTTGATTAGACATTTACTTTCTTTTCATTAAAAAAAAACAAGTTTATCACAGAAAATGTCAATTTCTTTGATTAGGTTTTTGAATGTTATTTGGATTGAATGAACAAATAAAGTATATAACTTTGGATGCATATCCCCTTATTACTCTTTTTAGCCTTACCATTTCTTGTTCTTTTTCATTTTATGGTAAGCTGATTGTGTATTTCTTCATCTGAATTTTAAAACATGATGTTGCTGCTAAACCAAAATTTCAGAAAGTAAATAATAATTAAAAATAAACTGTTAAATCTCTACTTTTCATTGCTCTAAATTCTAAACCTTCTTAAAAATAAAAATGTTCTTAAAACTTAGTTGGTTAATTGGAGCTAAAATACAAAGATAAATGTTCAAGCAAATACAAAGAATTGTGCAGCTAATGATGAAATCTGTTGTCAGCTAGACAGACATGAAGCTTCAAGGAAACATCACAGCCTCTTTCACATAAATAGATAACATTACGTAACGCACACACACACACACTCACTCACGGAGAACATACTTTGTAAAGTAAAAGCTTCAGAACTGTCTGAAAAGATTCTCAGGAATCAAAATAGTGGCAGGATGTTGAAACTGAATCTTGGGCTGAAAATAATCCATTAGTTGAGGCTGTTCTTTCAATCCATCTGTGGCAAAAAAGCCTTTTCTACACCCCCAGACTTCCAACCTCATGCACCTGGGCATTCATACACATGCACAAACACACACTTGTGCACACCTTCAGCAACACTTTGCTCCAATCTGACA